ACATACCATCTAGTTCTTCAGAAGAACTATAGGCTGAGGTTTGCATAGTCCACTACTCCCTTGGACTAATTGATTCCATGTGTCTTTGGTTTTCTTCATTCTTTGCTCTAGACAAGGAGAGACACATTGTTGCATCTGGATGACTGCTTGCAAACTTTTAAGACTTCAGTCATTACTCACCAAAGTAGGATATAAAACAATGTTTTTGCATAGTATGTTACAGGAAGCAAGAAAAGAATTTTAAATCATAACTGTTTCGTGGTGGTAATATATTATCATCTTCTTCTTTGAGGAGAACAGAATTGTCAAGGCAATGGCAGGTTTTAAGTCTGCATCTCATGAAACTCAAATTCTTTGTCTCAATTTTTAAGAAGATTTTAAATGGAACACTTAACTAAGTACTATAAGTAAATGTTAAGACTTCTTTACAGTCTTTGGAGCAAACAAAAAATTGTTTTGAGCAGCATAAAATGTAAGCCTAAATTTTTGTCTTTTTTGACTTGTACAAGAAATATAAATTTAAATAAAATAAACTCTATTATATTAATCAAGGTTACAACCTTGCACTTTAAAACAATTACAAAATATGTCATAAGCCTCATCATAATTCAAATATCTGAAATGAAATCCTTTTTACCTATTTGGGGTATAGCAATGAGATTTTTTTTCTCCTACCAATATAGTGGCTAAGGCACTTGACTGCTAACCAGAAGGCTGGTGGTTCAAACCCACCAGCCACTCCTCAGAAGGAAGATGGGGCGATCTACTTCCATAGTGATACCGCTTTGGAAATCCAAGGAGGGGTCGCTATGAGTTGGGTCCGACTCGATGGCACACAACAACAATAACCAATATACAATTCCTCAATCATAATGCAAGAAGCTTAATTTCAACCTGCCTTAACATTCTTCTGTAATAATAATATATAATACTTTGCATTCATATGATTGCATGTGATACTTTTCAAAGCACACTCATCACACTGTGCTCTATTTCTGTGTTCTTAGTATCTCATACAACACCTAGGACACAGTATAAGCTCAATATATATTATATAAGTGAGCAAATAAATGACAAATATATAATAGGAAAACTGATCCAAATCAGTCCAAATATGACTTAGGACTGATATCTCCAAAAGGATTGTTGATTATATATATATGCACCATCTAATAATAATAATTGAAAATAAAGCAGAGGTAGGTTTAGGTTAAACCAGGTATTATTAATAATCAGAAACTTGGGGCTTTAGGAAGTTGGCTTCTCAAGCAAAGGGATGTGGTTAATTACTGTAGGAGTCAGGGCCTGTTTGCACCCCTCTGCATGTAGAAAATGGCCTTCTATTGAAAGCCACAGCTAGAAATGTGAAGACCCAGGCCTCTGGCTCCAAACAAATTGGTGAGATGAGAAGACAGAACTATGGTAGCTAACTTCTTTATAGTCAAGCTTTAGGGGCCACAAAAACTGTCCTAACCATTTCTGTGATGCGGAGGGAGTAGAATTATTTAAGAGATCCTAGGAAAGATTTCTTCTCCAATAATAACTGCCCCATGCTACCTAATATTCCAACAATTAAAATATTTGGTTTGTTTTGGTTAGCAGTTTGGTTAGCAGTGGTCCCTTCTAGCTCTAGTGACACTTAACAATTAGTATCAATGAACACTAACTTCTTTTTCTCGACTCTCATGGTCGCATTATTTAAGAAAATTGCTAACCAAAACAAATTTACATTTAAAGTCCAGGTGCATAATGCCAAGTTCAGCAGACTTTCCATCATACCCTGCTTCAGACTTGCCCTTACTAATACTTATATTAGGGACTGCATGCTAAAGAATTTAGGCTCCAACTAGTAATGTCAGGTATAAAAAAGATGGAATGATAGAGACTATGTCAAACTGTTTAAGGGTGCAACCACTATTTAGTTCTATTGTTACTATGCAGGAATATGGATCCAGTTTTGCCCAGATCTTCCAATTTTTCAAGAGAGGCTGGAAATCCATATTTTTACTTAAAAAGTATTCATTTTAAAGCACGTATGTGGCTGGAATTGTATTTTTTGTTTGCCAGTTTTTAGCCTCTGATCTACTTGTCTTCTAATCTTTGAACAAAAACAGAGAAATGACAAAGAAAAAGAAGGGAAAGGAAAAGAACTACCCATTGGCTACTTAACTGTATGGCGGATACTACATCAGATATCCTCACATATGTTTCATTGAAATATGGCAATGCAAGGAAAAAAATCCTATATAGGAGAAAAACTAGAAAGAAATACGTTAAAATACTAATAGTAGGTATGTCCTTTTCCATTCTCCATAATTTTTAACCACAAATATTATATTTATATATTAATTTTATGATAAAAAATTTATAACTAAAAATTACATAAGGTGGATTTCTGGGTAAAAATCCACCTATTTCATAGTGTTGAAAGTACACCACCATAACTTAGGCCAAACTATACACTGGATATTTAAATAAAAAAGGAAAATGTAACAATTTGAAGTATAAGTAACATGTAACTATGCAAAATAAAACCAGAAGAAAGAAAACATGAATTACACAGGTGATGTGGACCACAGATCAATTAAAATGAACAGAAATATGTGAAAATGTTAAGAATTTTGTAGGTCATTTTCCCACTAAATTATGAGATAGACAACTTGGTAGTCTATGGTTTTTGTGTGTGTGGCCTACACACTACAAAATAATATATATTCCTTGAAAAAATTATAAAACATGGCCCATCTGTTACATATTTTCTACATTTATTGCACTGTTTTCTTTCTTTTTTGTTGTTATGTGCCATAGAGTCAGACCCGACTCATAACAACCCCTCCTTGGGTTTCCGAGGCAGTATCACTACGGAAGTAGATTGCCCAACCTTCCTTCTGAGGAGTGGCTGGTGGGTTTCAACAGCCAGCCTTCTGGTTAGCAGTCAAGCGCCTTAGGCACTATGCTACCAGAGCGCCTTTCTTTCTTTTAGGCATGTACAGACTTCAGTATTTTTATTTAAATAATGCTTTTCTTTGCCTTTCAGGTATTTCAAAGATAGCTGGTAGGTTTTATTGTTTTCCTAAGTGAAGTATGTCATTTCAAGCCACTCAGGTTCTAAGCAATCTCAATCCCTAATTAATCTCTTCCAAATATACATATTCATTTTTCATTTCGTTCACAAGTGAAACCTTAACCTAAATACTTCAAGTCAAATTTCAGGGGAAAACACTGTTCAAAAAGTTAGATAATGCATTCCTTTCTTGATGCTAAATATAGTTATTTTAAGATGACATACATTTTTGACAATGATCAGTCTTACATATCAAATTTTCAAAAATAGCACAGGTTCCATTTTAAGGTGAGCAGGAAAAAAATTCATTCATTACATTTCAGTTTAAAATGCATTTAAAATTATCAATCTTCTATTAAAACTAAATTATATCACAGTTGTAATGAGGAAAACTGGATTTAATGGAATTTTGTTGGGGTTTTTGCTTAGGGCCCTTTAAAGGTGTTGCAGATAAAAGAATTGCACAATTAAAAAAAATTATTCCTAGGAAGCAGGGTCAAAATCAAAATATCTTCAAAATCAAAATATCTTCAAAAATAGGTTGCTAATAACTCTAAGGAACAACATTAACTAGTGACATTAAATAATCAAAATTCATGTATACTGAAAATACTTCCCCAAGAACCTCTTTCCCTCATTTGATTAATTATACATTTTTCTACCTTACCAATACTCCAAACCTCAAAAGAATTTCAGAGAAGTATGTGTATTCTGAGTCTTACGGCAGCAATTTATCCTATAAATGGATAATATGGGACAGGGGGAATTATGTGGTTCACTTAATAATGCGTGACTAAGATGGTATAAATACTTAAGTTTATTTAACCACATTATCCAAGGCATAGTTATGTTGTGACTCACAGGCCAATGGACCTGTTATATGAATTCATTAACAAAATTTAGCTGATCAATGATGCAGCCATTGCTTTGGTCAAGCAACCAATTTCCTTTTTATTATGAGTTACTTCTTTTTCTCTACCTGCCTGTTTCCCAAGGACAGACATTTTGTTAGGACAGTTCCTTATGCTATTTTTACCTTGTTATCTCTCTCTCTCTCCAACTCTTAGTGCAATGTAGATCTTTAATAAATGTCAAACGAAGATCTCATAATCACTGCAACAATCAACTAAGCTCTTAACTTTTTTTTTTTTTTTTTAACAAATACTAATAATAATACATCTTTGGCATTCGTAGAGCCGTTCATAGTTTAAAAACACAACTGGAATGGCTCCCTGCTTTCCAAAAGCAAATAGACAAGGAGGGCTCAAGAAACGAGTACATTCCTCACTAAATTCTTCACTGCTGTAGCTTCTCATCCCCCAACATCCCATCTCCAGCAAAATCAGAAAAATAGTTTGGAGGGAGGGCGCAGATGATGAGTTAAATCACATTTCAGTCCCCAGCCTCCACACTGACAGATCGGGAATGATTCCTCTTAAAAATAATAGACTCTGCGGGTGGAGACCGAGACAGCGCGGCAGGAACAGGAGGGTGGTGCTCCTTCTGGAGCATTGAACTTTACCCGCTCGGACCCCCACCCTCCCCAGGGAACGGCAATAGGACTGGCACCCACTCCGCCCACGGAGGTCTGTCTCCTTGCAGGAGTAACTCAACGGTCTAGGCGCACGCGGAGCAGAAACAGAACAGTGGGATAAGAAAACTGCAACCAGAAGCTGGAGGCCAGTTATTGCCGAGAGATAGCGAAGCCCACTCCAGTCCGCACCCGCGGAACCCAAAAGGTCGCGATTCCAAGGGCCAATTCCCTCGGTCCGGGGACCAGCACGCAGCCACAGCTGGATGGAGCCCTCCAGTGCTGCGGCGGTGCCAACCCAGGAGACGAGGCATGGGGAACCCGTTCCTGCCGCCTCCGGGCCCACCCAGGGGATCCGACCCGTTTCCCTCCACCTCTGCTCCAGGTTCTCCTGACGCCTCTCACCCGCCAGGAGCCCGCGAGAAGCGAAATGTCCTTGCGCGTGGAGAGTCTGTGTGCGCCCTGCGCCTCAAGTGCCGGCAAGAGACTGGGTGCTAAGACTGCTGCTGCCGCCGCTGCTGCTCCAGCCGCTGGGAGCCCTCTGGCTGCCGCCGCCGCCGCCGCGGTCTCGAGCAGCAAGTTTCCATAAAAGTCCTGGTGCGCAGTCTGTTCCCGCATTCCAGGCGGGCTCAGCGCCGGCTGCAGCTGTTCCAAAACACAAGGCCAGTTACCCCACCTCCCCCACCTCTGCCGTACAACCGGGAGAGGGGTGGAGAGTCGAGGAGGAAAGCAGGCAGGGGGGCGGAGGCTGCCAACTTTCCACCAGAATCTGCCTGTCGGCAGGCACTTGGTGCCGGAGCCGACTCCCCAGCCGTGGGCCGGCCTACACCTGGAGCACAGTATGAGAAGAGGAGGCTGCCTCTTCTCTGGGAAAGAGTGAAGCTGGAATGGTCTTCAGCTAGAGCTGGCTCTTGCCTACACGACAATCCGTTTGCCATGGGACCCACTTCTCTCAGCTATTCTGTACCTCCCGGTTTTCAATCAGGAATTCAAGCTTGTACATTATAATTCCCTTTATCAGCAAAATACCATCATTCCGCGAGCACTTCGTATGTCTGTTGCTCACCTTTTCTTGTCTCCTTCCCCTATCCCCAAACACACACCCATCTTAAACTCCAAAGAGAGTGTTAATAGCGGTTTTTTTTTTTTTAAAGCAGATATATAATCTACTCTTTCTTAATTGATGGCAAATGTCTGGGCTCTCTAAACAATAATAGCATCTGCAAAAATTAGGCACCCACAGTCCTTTACAACTTGTACTACCACCTAATCATTTAAACCCATCAGACATCACATTAAAACCTAAAAAATGCACATCCAGAGGGGGCATTTTCTGGTACTGGTAATCATTCCTTTTTCACTACATGCAAAAACAAACATAAAGACAAAACCAGTAAAAAGATGACCACTTCTAACTTCCAGCCCTGGACAAACGGCTGTGCTCAGGTTATGCAAGGATGTCCAAAAGATCTGTCCTTTATTGACCCTGCTTCCCCCCCACCCCATACATCTATTTGCTCAGGATGAAAATTCTTCTCAGAGGGATAAAGCCATTCATTCCTCAATCAGAGAAAAGTTCTAAATTGGTGATTATAAGTTATTTAAATTCACTTCAGTATAGACAGGAGAATTGGATGATCTAGCTCAACCCCCCTGTTCCCTTCAATACCATTCCCATGTGCTGCAAATAAACAGAATGGGACAAGGAAGGAAGCAGGGAGACCAATCAGGATGGTTCCACATAATCAGGACAAGAGGTAATGTGGTAGTGAATGGTCAGATTGTTGATAATTTTTTTCTTGGTACATTTCAAAGTGGAAGTGGTAGAATTTTGGTATCAGATTAAACATGAAGTGTAAGACAAAGTTTTTGACCTGAGGAACTGGAAGAATGGAGTTGTCAGTTACCCAGTGAGGGAAGAATGGGAAGAGTATGTTTAAGCAAGGGCAGTCAGGAGATTAGATTTGGACATACTAAATTTGAGAGGACTATTAGAAATGTAAGCTATACCAATATGTATAAACATTCCTTGTATACATATCATGAATTCCAGCCCTCCTTAAGCCTTCAGATGACTATAACCTCAGAAGAGAGCCTAAGCCAGAACCCCCCAACTAAGCCATTCCTGGATTCTTGCCTCTTGGAAATTTTAAGATGTTTGTTGTTTCAAGCTGCTAAATTTTGGGATAATCTGTTATGCAGCAATAAGTAACTAATAATCACCTTCCTTTTTTGATTATTCATCTTCTACCACATTAAGCACTCAGTCCTTTTTCAAGTCCTGGGCCCAATCTCTTCTTATACAGAGTTTTACTAAGTAAAAAAAAATAAAATTCTGGAAGTCATATATTTTAAGTGCATTCAAATGTCAAAAGTGCTTCTTTATAGTCAAGTGCTATAGTGTTTATTTCACTATAGGAAATTATAAAAGTTTTGTAATTTCCTATATATAAATGTACTTAGTGAAAAGATATCTGTGGCACATATAATAGACACATATAATAGATAGTTAAAAGCCAAACACTGAGGTAGTATTTGATGTACCAGTTGCTTTGCTGTGGCTTTTAAGTAGAGATAAAAAGTCTCATAGGAGAAAGTTTTGCTTTTTCCCCCCTAGACTGAAATCCAGCCCTTCCCTTCCCAAACGGGTTAGGGAAGTGTTCCCACTGTTCAGACATAGAAAAAGCCAATGACAGAACCTCAGCAGACCAAAGAGTCTGTGCAGCCTGATCAAAGATATCAGTAGAATAAGGAGAGAGAGAGATCAAGGGGGAAGAAATGACAAGGTAAAGTATTACAGAATGCAGGACACAGGAAGAGACACTTCAGAGAAGAGGAAAATAGATGTCAAAAGTGGAATAAGAACAGTAAGGAAGACAATGCATAAATATAGTAAATTTATAAAGGTTTCCAGCAAAGCCCTGAAAAATAGGACACCGAGATACTCAAATTTAGAAAGAGATGGTTAAAGGGCAAAATACTAAATTTAAATGGTGGGATCAAAGAGAATGGTATGAGACAACAAAGGATATAGCAGATAATGACAAAGGAAACAGAAGATGAGATCGAGGTACTGATCTATTTTCCCATTCCACCTCCAACTCTATATCCTAGCTAGGCAAAGATTCAACTCTTGTTTGTATAGTTTGTTTATTAAGTAATATACCTCATTTTCCAGCAGTTGTCTGTCAATTTGTTATACTGTGGTGGCTTGCGTGTTGCTGAGGCTGGAGGCTAGTATTTCAAATACCAGCAGAATCACCCGCGGTGGACAGGTTTCAGTGGCACTTCCAGACTAAGACAGACCAGGAAGAAGGAAGGGGCCAACCACTTCTCAAAGAACTGCCAGTGAAAACCTTATAAATACCAGTGAAACACTGATATATTACTGGAAAAGTTTATGAACAGCCCTGAAACATTGATACAGTGCTGGAAGATAAGCCCCCTCCTGAGTAGAGCCGACCTTAATGATATGGATGGAGTAAGGCTTTTGGGACCTCCATTTGCTGATGTGACACGACTCAAAATGGGAAGAAACAGCTGCAAACATCCAAAATAATCAGAACATGGAAAGTACAAAGTATGAATCTAGGAAAATTGGAAGTTGTCGAAAATGGAATGGAATGCATAAAGGTTGATATCCTAGGCATTAGTGAGCTGAAATGGATTGGTTTTGGTCATTTTGAATCAGACAACCATATGATCTACTATGCCAGGAATGACAAATTGAAGAGCAATGGTGTGGCGTTCACTGTCACAAAGAATGTTTCAAGATCTATCCTGAAGTACACTGCTGTCAGGCAGAGAATAATATTCATAGACCTACAAGGAAGACCAGATAATACTACTATTATTCAACTTTACACACCAAACACAAACATGAAAACTGAAGATTTTTAGCAACTTCTGCCATCTGAAATTGACCAAACATGCAGTCAAGTTGGGTTGAATATCACTGGTGATTGGAATGAAAAAGTTAGAAACAAAGAAGAATCACCAGTAACTGGAAAATATGGCCTTGGTGACAGAAATAATGCTGGAGTCCACAAGATTTTTGCAAATATCTTTTTCAACAACACAAACAGTGGCTATACACGAGGACTTTGCCAGATGGAGTAGACAGGAATCAGACCGACTGTATCTGTGGAAAGAGGTGATGGAGAAGCTCAGTATCTTCAGCCAAACAAGGCCAGGGGCTAACTGTGGAACAGACCATCAACTACTCATATGCAAGTTCAAGTTGAAGCTGAAGACAATTAAAACAAATCATGAGAGCCAAAAGACCTTGATTATATCCCTCCTGAATTTAGAGAACATCTAAAGAATAGATTTGATGCATTGAACACCGATGACCAAAAACCAGAGGAATTGGGATGACATTAAGAATACCATCCATGAAGAAACCAGGTCATTAAGAAGACAGGAAAGGAAGAAAAGACCAGAATGGATGTCAGAAGAGACTCTGAAACTTGCCCTTGAATGGAGAGTAACTAAAGCAAATGGAAGAAATGACAAGATAGAGGAGCTGAACAGAAGATTTCAAAGAGCAGCTTGAGAAGACAAAGCCAATTATTATAATGAAATGTGCAAACACCTGGAGTTAGAAACCCAAAAGGGAAGAAGATGCTCAGCATTTCTCAAGCTGAAAGAACTGAAGAAAAATTCAAACCTCGAGTTGCAATATTGAAAGATTGTTGTTGTTCTTAGGTGCCATCAACTCGTTTCTGACTCACAGCGACCACATGCACAGCAGAACGAAACACTGCCCAATCCTGCACCATCTCCATAATCCTTGCTATACTTGAGCCTCTAAAGCACTTGACTGCTAACCAGAAGGCTGATAGTTCAAACCCACCAGCCACTCCTCAGAAGAAAGATGGGGCAATCTACTCCCATAGTGATACTGCCTCGGAAATCCAAGGAGGGGTCGCTATGAGTTGGATCTGACTTGACAGCACATAACAACAACAACATACTTGAGCCAATTGTCGCACCACTCTGTCAGTCCATCTCATTGAGGGCCTTCCCCTCTTTCGTCGACCCTCCACCTTACCAAGCATGACATCTTTCTCCAGGGAATGGTCCCTTCTGACAACATGGACAAAGTAGGTGAGACGAAGTCTGGCCATTCTCGCTTCCAAGGAGCATGTCAGCTGCACTTCCTCCAGGACAGGTCTGTTAGTTCTTTTAGCAGTCTATGGTACTTTCAGCATTCTTCGCCAGCACCACAACTCAAAAGCATCAACTCTTCTTCAGTCTTTCTTATTCATTGTCCAGCTCTCACATGCATACAAGGCGACTGAAAACATCATGGCTTGTGTCAGGCACACCTTAGTCCTCAAGGAGACATCCTTGCTCCTAAGCACTTGAAACAGTTCCTTCGCGGCTGATCTGCCCAGTGTTACACATCATCTAATGTCCTGACTGCTGCTTCCATTGGCATCGATTGTAGAACCAAGCAATGCGAAGTCTTTGACAACCTCAATCTTTTCTCCATTTATCATGATGCTGCTTATTGGTCCAGTTTGAGGATATTTGTTTTCTTTATATTGAGACGTAATCCATACT